AAGAGATAAACAAATTGTACCGTATTTATGTAGTGGAATACTACTCGTTAGTAAAAAGGATTGAGTTATTTATATGTATGACAAAATGGTAGGGAAAGAAGCCACCCTCTTGACAACAAGAAAGTGCATATTGTATAATTCCGTTTATATATAATTCTAGAAAATACAAACTGTCGTGATAGCAGATCAGTGGTTGCCTAAGGAGGGGGTGGGTTTAGGAAAGGGTGTGGGACAGAGGGATTACAGAGGGTCACCAGGAAACTTGGGTGGTGATGGATATGTTCATTATCTTGTTGGGCATGGTTTGCAGGTACAAACAGATGGCAGAATTGATCAATTCATATACGTAAATATGTGCAGTTCATTGTATATCAATTATAATGAAATAAACCTGTTTATATTTTTGCCCCCAAATGTTCTTAACAATGAAATCAGTTTTGGGTGACTAACAGCTAGAAGTAAGAATGGTGAGACATGAGGCAGAAGAGAGAAAGAAAGAAGCTGATGGGATAGAGCCTAGACCTTATCCTGAGGGTAGTGGTGGGTACTGAAGAGTTTTGAGCAGGCTAAAGACATGATTTGGTGTGCCTGTTTGACAGATTGCTCTCATTTTAGACTGGAGAATGGTTTGTTAGAGGGCAAGACCAGAAGCAGGGAAACATTTTTTTTTTTTAACATTTATTTATTTCTGAGAGACAGAAACAGAGCCTGAGCGAGGGAGGGACAGCGAGGGAGACAGAATTCAAAGCAGGCTCCAGGCTGTCAGCACAGGGCTCGACACAGGACTCGAACCCACGAACTAGGAGATCATGACCTGAGCTGAAGTTGGATGCTTAACCAACTGAGCCACCCAAATGCCCCAGCAGGGAGACATTAAGGGCAAGATGCCGAAGGGCGCGGACAGGGAGTTGGGGTCAGTTAAACATGCTGCATTGTTATAGATTGTTCCTCTCAAGTCCTCTGGCTTACCTTGATTGGAGCCACCATCGTCTCTTACCATCATTGCAAGAGCTTCCTAATAGTCCCTCTGCTCCTGGTCTTGAATGGAGGATGTCAGGGTGGTGGCTGATATGTAAAATGCCATATACTGGTGTTGAGCAGGCTGGGGAGCTGGGAGGCTGACATAGGAGATGCCTCCTATGGAGGACAGGAGGACCTGGCTGGAGAGGGAAATCTGTGGGAGCTGCTTGACTTAGTCTGGAGTTTTCCAAAGGAAGAGTTCTCATCTCACTTTCTGACATGACCTTGTTCACTGCTGCCATCTATCTGTTACTTCTCTCTCCTCCTAATGCTTTTTGAATTGTTCTGCGAAGAAATCCCTGGCCGTCTTAATTTCCTCTTTCCTGATAACAGATGGATGTACCCTACGTGCCAGGAAGCGTAAATAATTCTGGGCACTCAGCCAGTTTTTCTGAATCGTTCCCCCTCCCCCCCCTCCCCAAATAACCAGTGGCCGTTTTATCTTCAGATTCAGTTCTTTCATTCACTTCAGGGAAACTTTCTTTTGTATCTGAAAAATAATTTTCTTACTCTAATTATTGAAGTCAAAGATACCAATTATCTTCGTGTTGGCTCATCTTTGTTTCTTGTACCTATCCTTTTATCTCTAATTGCCTTAGCTACTTTGTCCTGGTTTCTCTGCCTTCATTATAATTATCATGGGCCTTTTCTGTGTGGCATCGATTTGATTTTAAGCCATATCTGTTATTTCCCCTGCTAGTTGATTTCTTAGAGTCATAATGGCTTTGTTTTGGTCCTCAAATCATTTCCACACATAATTTGGTACCAAATTACTTCAGTTCTTTGGTTCCTCATTTCCATTCATTCTGTTGTTGTATCATCTCATCTTTGAACTTAAAAAAAAGAATTGAGGGATGCCTGGGTGGCTCAGTCAGTTAAGCACTGGATTCTTTATTTCAGCTCAGGTCATGATCTCACAGTTGTGAGACTGAGCCCCACTTCGGGCTCTGTCCTGGGTGTGGAACATGTTTGAGATGCTCTCTCCCTCTCTCTCTCTCTCTTTCCCCACTTGCACTCTGGTTCTCTCTCTCTCTCAAAAAGAAAAAAGAAAAGCTATTCTTACTATATCAGTCATTATTCAGCCATAGTCCTTTTTTTCTCCTGGCCACTACTTTACTCCATTTATAGCATGAATCTGTTCCTTTCTTTGCTTGTTTGGTTTCTGCTGATGAATTTTAGCAATAACTTTTTTACTGATTTGGGTTATTACTTTTATTATTTGTTCGTTGTTGATAGGTGTTGGAGATGAACAATTCTGTGATAGTGCCTTAATCTACTATCTTAATCAAGATCTCACCTCCGTAGCAAGATTTTCGTAAACACTGTTACTGAGTGGTTTTCTCATCATGGACCTTTGATGTTACCCTTATGTATTTTGATGATGATAGCAGTTTGATATAGTAGAAAACCAGAATCACAGGTGTGTCTGTGCATATCTAATATAATTTTATCAAGTTTATAAATTGGTCATAAATTACTGTTTGTTCCCAGGAGGAACCTGATTACCCCTTATTTCCTTCTGACTGCAGTAAAAACTATAAGAATGTAGATTTCAAAGTGTCTTCAGTGACCACAGGGATGGGCCTTTGTTTACCATCTGATGACATTTTTACTCTTTCTGTGTTGCTGGTGTAAGGGTATTAGTTACGCATTGGTGCGGAGGCCACTTGATAGGTGTATTTCTGCTTTCCTGAGTAAAGTTCACCTCCCTGGAACAGTCTTCTAAGGACTGAGTGTGGATGCCTGAACCAGGACATTTTACGACTCATCCCAGATTCCACCAACCATTTAATGTGCCTTCTTGCTCTATTGGCCTGTTTCATAAATAGAAAGAAGGGATGCATTAAAATGGGAGTTTTATTTGATGTCGCTTGTTGAAACCATACAATTCTATTTCATCCCCCAAAGATTTATACAGGTGTGACCCACTTAAACATCTGTCATTATGTCTGTGATTTAAAAAAAAAAGTTAATGTTTGTTTATTTTTGAGAGAGAGAGAGACAGAGCACGAGCACGGGAGGGGCAGAGAGAGAGGGAGACACAGAATCGGAAGCAGGCTCCAGGCTCTGAGCTGTCAGCACAGAGCCCGATGCGGGTCTTGAACCCACAAACTGTGAGATCGTGACCTGAGCTGAAGTTGGGCTCTTAACCAACTGAGCCACTCAGGGGCCCCTGTGATTTTTTTTGTAAACCTTTCATCGGGGCATGCAGACTCTGGACAAAGCACTTTCTTTTTCTGATTATAATAGAGTTGAAATGCCTGGCACCACGATAGCAAAACATGTGAAGAGTGGACAGCTATTTTTTTACTGTTTGTCTTTTAGTTTATTACTTACCGGACCTCCTGAAATGCTGATACATAAACTTCCATCTTTTTTTGTTTTGTTTTATTTTGCATATGAATGTGTTTAAAAAACTCAAACTCTGCTGAGAAGCAGAAGGGCTGCTGGGAATAATCTTTATCTGGTCTCAGATTTCCCTTTAATTATTTGGAGAAGGAATTGAAACTCCTTTTCCTTCTATTCTGGCTATTTTACATCAGTTGGGGAACTCTGCAAGGTTCTAATCCCCCTCCCTCTGCCAAGGGGATGGGAACAGAAAGGTTCAAAAGGTGAGGTAATTTGAGCATAGTTTCGGATGTAATAATCCCATCAAACTCTATGAAGTGTAGGGTTCATTCTATTCTTCTTGGCATCAGGAAATAGGCCCAGGGAAGTCGAGTAGCTTTGTCAGTCTGTTTGACTCCAAAGCCTCTCCTTTTCTTCACAAAGTAGAGATTAATTCAAGGGGGGAAATCTGGTTGGCAACCATGGGCAGTGTAGTGTAGTGGTTAAAAGCATGGTCTTTTATTATTAAGCCTGGACTTACTAGGAGGAAATTACTTAAATTCCTTGTGAGTTGATTTCATCTATAAAATAGAGGTAGTGAGCCCTTTGTTACTGTACTGTTACTGGGGTCTGAGTTAGTGCTCATAGCACTTACCACAAAATAATAATTCATGAAATGGCAGATTTGAAAAAAAAAAAAGATCTAAAATGGGGACAGGTCCAGAAGCAAGGCTGACTTAGGAACTTGGAACACTAGAACCTGGACAACCAGTTGGTTCAAACTTACTGAACTTGGATGGACTCTGTCCAGACTTATTGTTCTGCTGAAATATCTGGTTCCAAAATAACAATTCACAGTTGTTGAAAGAACCGTTGGAAGAGGAGTACAACGTATGATAGGGACAGGGTGTGTTGATTTCATGAGGAATGCAACAGATACACGTTTATTTGAATCTGATGCCATATTGACATTGATTTAGCCAAAGAATACTTGAGATTAGCTCAAGTAGGAAGAGTTGATTGGAAGGCTCTGGGGCCCTGGATGGAACACAAGGACAGAGTATGGCTGGGCTCTTTGGAACAGGAAAACTATCAGAAACTGAAAGTGTTCACCTCGTCTTTAAGAGTCTCTCTAATTTCTGGTTCTCTTTGCATTTTTTCTTTTTTCACGTTGTTCCACAACATGGTGCAGCATTCACATACTTTACTTTTGTGAGTGTATTTGAATTGCTATTGGACACCCACTGGTTCTGGGAATGATCATGCCCACATTGATGGGGGCATTTGTACTAAGTGTGGCCATCAAGGCCGACCTTTTTAGAAGATACAGATTTGTAGAGAATGAGCCTGTAGGGAAGAGAAGCTGCAGAAAGGCTATCTGTTACTCATTCTTTTATAAAAGAAAGAAAGTTCTAGAAAATAGTTGTGTGTGTGTGTGTGTGTTTTTTTTTTTAAAGCGTGGTAGCCCAGTTCCCCAAGCTGAAACTTCTGGTATTATTTGATGGCAGAATGCCTCAATGCCGTGCCAACTTTTTATGAGAAAATAATTCTCCTGAAAGTTGATCCTGCAAACCTAAACTTGTAAGTTTGCTGTTGTCACTTTCTAATAAGTGTTGCACGTTAATCTTCATTTCCTTTTGCTTTTCTTCCAGAGATATGAAGACTATGGAATGACTCCCCCATCAGGCCCATTGCCAAGGTAAAGTTTTTGGGAGAAAATACATTAGGACTTCCTCACATCGACTGGTTTTTACAAATTTTGTAAACTTGTTTCTTTTAGCTAATATGAGCAGATGCAAACCTCTGGGTTGTGTGTTCTCTTGAGTTAACCTGAAGAGGAGAAAAAAGGTGGAATTTTAAGTTCTGCTTCCAGTAAAGACAGGCTAGATTGTTTGCTCAGGGCATCTGGAAAAGCCAGACAAGATTTTAAAATAAAACAAAATAAAACCCAGATAGCTAACAGGGCAATGGAATGGTATGGGGCCAAGATCCAGGGAGTCCAGAGAAAGGAGCCCTGCCTTTTGGGTGAACTTTCTCCCTGGGATGCCTGCTAATCCCGGAAGAGGTGACTGAGAACCTGAGCAAGACTTTGGGCAGACCCCTGGGCCTTGGAGTCTTGAAAATTTGACATAGTGAAAGTTGTGGGATAAAGCCAGGCTTTGCGGGGACTTTGATGCCTTAAATGAATCAAAATACATTTGAAAAGAAAAATGGCTGAATACCAGTGATCTAAGCATCCATCTCAATGTAAAAAAAAAAAAAAAAAAAAAAAAAAAAAAA